GGAGGAGGGTCAGAGGGAGAAGCAGACTCCCTGCTGAGCAGGGAGCCCGATGTGGGACTCGATCCCGGGACTCCAGGATCATGACCTGAGCCGAAGGCAGTCGCTTAACCAACTGAGCCACCCAGGCGCCTGATTTCTTATCATTTTAAACATGTGTTTTCCTTGATTTGCTTAAACATTTAACTGGTTTTCAGAGCTCTTATAAATTATTTTAGTCAGTCTGTAACTGTTTATTTGATGTTTCCATAAGAGAGCAAGGACCTGGAGCTCCCTACCTACTCTGTCTTACTGACATCATTCTCAATTATATAACCAAATCTTTTGAGACTTTTGCTTTCAAATGGAATATTTTGCTGGTAATTGGTGATAAATGTGAAATTAGTACAGTTTCCACTACAAACTCAGCTTTTGTTTGTCTCTTTCCCCAGTACAAGCACGGAGGCCCCATCATTGCTGTGCAGGTGGAGAATGAATATGGTTCCTATAACAGAGACCCTGCCTATATGCCTTACATCAAGAAAGTAAGAGTCAGCTTGGTTTATTTCTTCATATTCCTTCCTCTGAAATGTTGTATGGGCTATGATGTGACATGTTGGCCTAATTCTTTTCTCATATTAATACCACATTTCCTAGCACCATTTATTAATTAGTGAATCCTTTCACCATACTTTTATTTTAGTGGGGTCATCACTTATTTACCCTCTATAGATTGAGTCTAATTGGGGGTTGCAGTACATACATGGAATTGCAATGGCTGAGAATAAAGGGATGGGCTTCATTGAGTGTGATGATTAGTGAAGTCTCTCTGTAGAGGCTGCTCTCATTCTAGCATCTAAAGCAAGGGTTCCCAGCTTCATCTGAACATACACTTTAAAAATCCCTATGCCCAGGCCATATACCATACCAATCAAATAAGAATCGCTGGGGTGGTCCTCAGAGATCTGATTCCAATGTGTAGGTTAGTTTGAGAACCACTGATTGAATGTATGGCAGACCAGTATATGGCAGGGCTAGATGATACTTAAAAAAACAGGCCTGTTTTTTTAGATCTGGTTTCTATCCTTTTGTAGCTAAGTCCTTGAGCAAATGCCTTAATTTTTCTAAACCTCCATTTTCTCTTCTTTGAAGTGGGACTAGTGAGAGAATTTGCCTCTCTGAATTGTTCATGTGTGTGAGATCACTTGGCTCAGGACTGTTCTAGGCATGTAGTAAGTAGTGAATAAATAACACTTTGATAGATTATTGGCAGTGGTTTTAGGGTACTTAGAAGGACGGGCCATGGTGTGGGTTGAGGAAATGTTAAGTGGCCTCAGGGAATCCACCTAATTAAAGCTGCTTTAGCTTTGGCCCTTGATGTCAGCATCTCTTCTGCTGTCATAGGCAGATTCATTTTCCATCTGGAAATTACTTCATTCCCTGCACACAGGCAGACCAAGCTCAAGCACTCTAGCTTATAGGTTCTTATCTACTCTTGCCCCCTTCTTATCACCTGCAGAAAGCCCTGTGTAGGGAATAAGCCTGTATCTAGGAAGAGGCATTCCCAGGCATCCTGATAGTCAAGCCCAACTGCAGCCTGTTTAGACCATACCTCCAGCTCCATCTTTGCCTTTGAATTAGCTAGAAAGATCCCATCCAGGGCTCATGATAGGAGAGCTTCTCCCACTATAACTCCTTCCCTTGGACTGTCTCTCAAATGCTGGGGCTTCTCCAGCAGGTGTTTACTGAGTCCTGAGCTGTAGAGAAGGAGAATTCTGCTAATGGGTGGGGAGGAGAGGGCAACCCCTTCAAGGGGCTTCTCCAGCTCAGTCAACACTTCCTTTGTGTCTGGGAAAGGTATCCATATGTGAGACAGATGGACAAAGGGAAGCTGCAGCACCCACCCGCTGTCATCCTGACCTCTTGGGAGGATCCCCTCTTAAGCTGTCTTGCAGCTTGTCCTGGGTGTTGCAGACATATGGACATCATCAGCACAGGATGACCTTGGGTAAATCACCTCACCTTTTTGAGCCTTAGCTTCATCATGTGCTCAATGGAGACAGGAATGCCTTTCTCTAAGGCTGCTCTGGGAATGAAGTGAGATTATAGACACAAGACCCCTAACTCTGCTTGGCAGATCGCTGGTGCTCAGGAAATAGTAATTACCCCTTCCAGTGTGCAGTCAATAAATTAATGCCTGTAAAAAGTCAAGTGTAATAGTACAGCTGTAAAAGAAGGTTATACCCTCCCAACCCCCACGATGTTATATGCATAAGGTAGGAACTGAGGCAAAGCCTGTTACGTATCGGCGAATGACTGGCTGGAGAGTTGCGAGGTGCTGGGTCCAGGGCTTTTAATAAACATCTCACTTGCTTAATGGATTGAACTTCTGCAGCTTCTGTTGTCTCTGAGAATTAGGGCCCCCTCTGCTCTTTCCTTACTGGCATCAGGCTTTAGACATGAACATTATGTACCCACTGGATTCTCTCTCTGTCTCACCTATTTCCCAAAGAATTTGGTTGAAATAAGCAGTCTTGTCAAAATATCTGCAGGGAAAATTAGAGGAGAGTCCCCCTTGCCGGGGTTTCTGATCCTTTAGAGCCCACAGCCCCAGAGCAGACTTTCCAAGGTGGACAGACTCTTGATTCAGGTCCATACTATCTAATTTGCTCTGTATCCCTTAACCCTTTATCCAACCTCTCTGAGACTCTTCCTCTGTACAGTTACTGTGAAGAGTGAATAGGACAGTCTATGTAAAGTGTTTAGCAGAAGGCCTAGCATGATTGTAAGTGGTTCATAAATGGTAGCAGTTATTCTGAGTAGTAAAATGGTTATTGCCTCTTAGCACAGTGTGTGCTTCTTCCACTTCTTCATTTGACAACTTTCAAGGAGCTCTTCCTGTTCTACTGGGCACGTGCAGTGTGTCATGGGCATGTGACTGTGTTGGACAGAGCCCTCCCTGGCCCAGTGTGGGGGAAGGATGGGCAGCTTGCTTCTGGCGCAGGGGGAGCTGGAGGGTCAGGAGGGCCTGGCCTGCTCGTGGAGACCCTGCAAGCCGGCCTGAGTGGGGCTGTCTAAGAAGAGCGCACGCACTAGCCAGATCTGGCACCTCACCACATCTGAGGCAGCCAAGGGATGCCAGAGTCTGACAGCCCTACCCCTGCCACAGCTGGACTTCAGCTGATAGGAGCTTTGTTGACCATGTTGGGCACAGACAGGATAGGTTTCTGTTCACTTTTTGCGGGGAAGTAAATGCTTTATTTTGAATCTTTCCCTCTTTCTCTTCCAGCTGCCACCTTCCCAGCTCTGAGGAACGACAGATTGACTTGTTTTCTTTTCCCCCATAGGCCTTGGAGGACCGAGGTATTGTGGAATTGCTCTTGACTTCAGACAACAAGGACGGCCTGCAAAAGGGAGTCATGGATGGAGGTGCCTGCCTGGATGCTGTGCGGGGGTAGGGGGGGAGGTGGCACCCTGGCCTCACTCTGCATGCTTCCCCAAATGGCCTGGGTCGCAAGTGGAGTTTCCCTGATGTCTGGGCTTCTCCCATTTGCATGGCATTGGGCCCGAAGCTCTGGGCCTCACAGGGTTGGAGGATCTGTGGCAGACGGATCTCTGGTCTCCCACTTGGGCTGAGCACTCACTCAGGACACTAATAGTGCTCTGCAGACTGCAGGACAGGAATGGTGAGTTGGTCATCCTAGACGGAAGTTCTCTGAATGTCTGCAGAGAGGGCAGAGCAGATGAAGCGTTATGGGGCGTCCTGGGAGGGTGGCTTACTCAAACGCTGCCAAAATCATGGAGATGGGTGACCACCACCCAAGGGGTATTTAGCCCCTGTGGTGATGGCAGCTGGCTGGGCAGCAAGTGAACAGAAGATCACCGTGGCGGCCCTCCATCAGCGCCATCTGTTTCCCTTACTCTGCGTCTCTTCCTGTTACTGTAGAGGCTCTGGCCAGCTTCACCCTTGCGCACCAAGCCCCTTGTCCCTCAGCTACTCAAGGGCATTGCTCCAGCAACTCCTGCTTCTGCCCTGGGTCATCAGATTTTCTCTAATGGGTCATTCCCATCGGCATGTAAACATGTTGTTATTTCTCGCTTGTAAAACAAATCTCGATTCATTTCCCTATCCAGAGGCTGCTGTGTTTCTCTGCTCCCCTTCAAGAAATCTCCCCATGTCCATGCTCAATGGCCGCCCCAGTCCATTTCCTCTCCATCTCTCTCAAACCATCGGGGTCACGTTACCACCCTCACCATTCCACTGTCACTGCTCTTTTCAGGGTTGCCAGTGACCTCCATGCTACAAATTTAAATGCTCGTCCTTGTCGCCTCTGACCTCTCATATTTTGTCAGCAACCATCAATCTCTTTCGTCCTTGGTGTCTGAGACCCAATTTCCTGTTTTTTCTCTGACCTTACAGGCTGCTCCTACTTGGTATCTCCTGCTGGTCACTTCTCTGTTCCTGAGTTCTGATGTTTAAATTCTTTACTTCTCACTGCTTGGAATGAATGTTCCTCTCCACACACTCATCACCCTGGGGATGTCATCCAGGTGCCTTTAGGTCTGACCTGTGTGTTGATGAGTGGGAGGTGCACGTCTCCATGAGCGACCTTCCTGAACTCCTGCCTCACGTGTGCATCTGCCTACTGGGCACAGCACCCCGGGAAGGCTGCCGATCTCAGTGGAACCCGCGGGGAACTGAACTTGTCTGTTTCCCTCCCAGAGCCTGTCCCACCTTCCGTCTTCTTTTTCTCAGTAAATTGCAACTCCATTTCCCCCAGTTGCCCAGACCTAAACTTTGTAGGCACTTTCAGGCCTCTCCTTGTGTATGCCTGACACACAGCAAATCCTTTTTATCTTTAGCTTTATCTTCAAATTTATCCAGATCCAAGTAAGTTTTACCCTGTCCGCTATTACCATCATTCTTATGTGGGCTGTTGCAGCAGCCCTGAACTGATCTCCTTTCTTCACTGCTGACTCCGACACAACTTTTTCTCAACATAGCAGCATTTGCAAATGTCATTTGGATTGCCTCAGGCCTCACCTTAACTCCAGGTACACCCAGCCTTCCTCACACTGAAGCACAAGTTATGAGAAAGGCCTCGAAGGGCCTCCTTTGACCTGTGACCTCTGTGACCTGGCTAGGTGTCTCCTGGCCCCCCTCCCCCTGCCATCCTGTTCCACCCTCCTCCTGGCCTCCTATCTGTTTCTGGAACATACTGGACACCCCCAGCCTTCCTGCAGAGACCTCTCCTCCCACTTTTCTCCCCGGTCACCTCGAAGTGAGGCTTCCTCTGAGCACCCATTTGAAATGCAGCTCCTTCTGGAGCTCCCCCAGCCCTTGGGCCCTGCTTTATTTTTGCCTTCTAACATTCTGGGTAGTTTCTTTGTTTTATTCACCTGTTTGACTGCAGCGGTAAGATCCACCAGGGCCTGGGTTCCGTCTTGCTTGGCGGTGCCCCTGTGCCTGGACACGGTTCATGCTCCGCAAGGATGATGGTCGTTGAAGGGCCTCCTATCAGCTGCCAGATACTTCCTAAGGGCTCCCACCACCTGCTTGCCTCTGCGGCAGCACGCCGGGCTTCCCGTTCCTTCTGCGTCGCCCTCTCCTCTACTAGACTGAACAGATAGGGCCTTTCATCTCCGCAGCCCTAGGCCAGCGCCGGCCTGCGGGGGGCACTCGGGGGTGTCTCGTTGGATGAATGGGCAAGAGAAGGCCCTTTCCCCAGACCCACTGAGCTCAAGGACCAGCCGCGATTCCCGCTCCTTCCACGCGATGGCACTGTCTTCTTGTGGCTGCTTCCAAGGCCTCCGCCGGCCCATCACTTCCGGTGGGGCCTGGGAGAGGCTGTGGCCAGTGCCCCCAGGCAAGACCCTTTGGAGGCGGGTGCACAGGTTTAGCGCGTGAGCACCGCGCTGAGGAACGCCGCCGACGCACGGAGGGAGTCGACGAGGCCGGCTGCGGGACTCCAGGCCCTCCTCCACGGCCCGCTCCGCCCCTCGC